AAAAAAAAAAAAAGACCTAAGAGTATCATGAGTGACTAATAAGGGTATAGCCGAGGAAGTAGCAAGAACCAAGTAGGAGGTCAGGGCCCAGTGTCTCACATCTGTAATCCTAGCACTCTGGGAGACCCATGGCAGGAGGATCATTTGAGCTCAGGAGTTGGAGACCAACCTGAGTAAGAGCAAGACCTTGTCTCTACTAAAAATAGAAAAACTAGCTGGGCATGGTGGCAAGAGCCTATAGTACCAGCTACCTGGGAGGTTGAAACAGGGGAATTAACTGAGACCAAGAGTTTGAGGTTGCTGTGAGCTTTGATGACACCATTATACTCTAACTAGGGTGACAGAGTAAGACTCTGTTAAAAAAAAAAAAAAAAAAAAAGCAGGAGCCAAGCCCTTTGGTGCCAGAGTTGAAAGTGCTAAATAGCCAACTTCAAGAAGGGCTCAACAACATATTCCTTGGCAGACTTTGCTAAACAATGAGTTTCTCTTCATTCATCTTGTGAAAAGAAAAAAATGAACTGTTGGTTTATTTGGTCCACAAATATTTTTTGAATGACCTCTGTGTTGTCGTGCACTTTTTCCATTCTTCACTTCATTCTGATACAAGAATAATGTAGTAAAGATCTGAAGTATAAAATTTATCACTCTCAGTTGCTTACTCAATTCAGTCTCAGCCAAAGTTCATTCTGAGGTGAAAGTGTAATGAATAAAGAAGATAATGTGTTAAAATTACTTTCATGCAAGTGGAGATGACTATCAAGTGTTCCAAAGAGCTGAAAGATGAATTGTTTTCTTAAGTATTTTAAATAGTCATCAGAAATGTGGCACAGAGAAACACTTGCTAAACCAAGGTGAATGTGAACCTGAGTTCATCACTAACAATGAAATGGTAGCACGTAAAATTTATGTCTTGGTTGTATCCTAATTTCAGGACAATGTCTGGGTTTCTAGAACAATAGGTAATTCTAGCAGGGACTTAGAACACCTTGGCAGGATCTCCATCCTAAGGAGTGAACAGTATACCTGAGAACAGTGCTCTCTGAGCCAGGGCACATTTTGTAAAAAGAAATAGCAGCTTCTTTGTTATTTTGAAAAGTCTGAAACCATTCTTAAGTTCTAGCAGAAGATTCTTAGACAATTGTGTGTATCTTTACTGCTTTTTCTTGGTCACAGCTGAAATTTAAATGTTTCAACTCATCTGATTCGGTAAAGAAAACTAAAACCTTTTAAAATAACTAATCCTTTGGATTACTTATTTTCAAGAGCACCAGAGCAGCCTCGGTGGGGAAAAGACAAAAGAAAAATGACTTAAACAATCATTCACTGTGTTTTATTTCTGTGTGCTGGACACACAGATAGATTTTCAAAAAAATAAAGAAATTAAAACAAAACCAGACCTAGACACTGATATATAAACCTCACTGAAAGAGGATAGGATGAATTCTGCTGGGGTTTGGAGGGAACTGGACCGTCCCCTGTCAGAGGAGGATGTGTATCATGGAGTTTGTAAACCCTACAGAGAAATATGTATGGTAGATTTAAACTAGTACATGAATGATGATGGTGTATGTGGTATTATGGTCTTTGTCCAAGATCCCTAATCATAGACCTAAAACCTAGAATTTCCTGAGTGATAGAGGTGTCTTTTGTTATTCAAAATAAGTCCTTTCAAAACTCCTGAGTTTATGCTAATGAGGTTACTTAGAGTGGGACCCCCTAGAAAGCAAAAACAGAAAAAAAAAAACCCATAATTTTCAGCTCTCCTGACTAACTTATGGGACGGGAGCAGTGGGCCAGGATTAAGCTCTATAAAACTTTTTTTTTGTCGTCCTTCATAGAGTGCTATGGTGTCACAGCTCACAGCAACTTCTAGTTCTTGGGCTTAGGCGATTCTCTTTGCCCCAGCCTCCCGAGTAGCTGGGACTACAGGCGCCCACCACAACGCCCGGCTATTTTTGTTGTTGCAGTTTAGCCGGAGCCAGGTTTGAACTTCCCACTCTTGGTATATGGGGCCGGCACCCTACTCACTGAGCCACAGGCGCCACCCAGCTCTATAAAACTCTTAGGCAACGAATCAGTGATGAGACCTCCACACCCTCCCAAACCTTACCCTTTCCATCTCTTTGTCTGGCTGTTCACTTGTGTCTTTTCTAATATTCTTTCTAATAAACTGGTACATGTAAGTAAGTGTTTCCCTGAGGTATGTGAGCCATCCTAACAAATTACCCATTCTAAGGAGAGGGTCAGGAGAACCTTAGGTTGGAGCCAGGCAGTAAGGAGTATAGATGACAACCCACTGCTTACACTTGGAGCGTGCTCCAAAATGGGAGCTGTCTTGTGG